GCCCTACTCTTTTAGATGATCTAAAAATCATTTCTCAAATAGCACCTGATGTTTATGAAGGAAGAAGGAAACATCATCCCTCTTAGCCTCAGGAATGTGTCCCAAGTCTCCAGTGGGTGCCTGAACCTGGGGATAGCACCGCCCCGTAATACATGAGGGGGTGGGTACTGATAACCACTGATAACCAAGGCGGCTACTGAGTGACTCAGGGACAGGAGGCACAGACAGCATGGAGACTTAGGGCACAGGGATGATTTGCGTTCTGGGTGGGAAAGAGCAACACAGCACGAGATTTCATCACTCCCTGTTAGCTGGGCTTAGGTGAAATCGACATCCTGTGTCAGTTTGTTGTGTCACATTATGTGTCGCGTGTGTTGTCACTATACAACAAAACGATCTGCAGTATATGCATACACCCAGTTAGCTGGGAGACATTTTTTTTTTTTTTTTTTTTTGAGACAGAGTCTTGCTTGTTGCCCAGGCTGGAGTGCAGTGGCTAATCTGGCTCACTGCAACCTCCACTCCTCCAGGTTCAAGAGATTGTCCTGCCTCAGCCTTCTGAGTAGATGGGAGTACAGGTGTCCACCACCATGCACAACCACCTTTGTATTTTCAGTAGAGATGGAGTTTCACGAGTACAGGCTGGTCTCGAACTCCTGACCTCAGGTGATTCACCCACCTCAGCCTCCCAAAGTGGTGTGGGATTTATAGGCGTGATCCCCACCATGCCCAGCCAATCATCTAAAACTTTTAAGTCATGCCAAACATCACCAGCTTTAGGATTCTTTTTTGGTTGGTGGAGGTTTGAGTAATGGGGATTTTAAGGAACTGTCAGCTTTCAGAAAACAGTGACAACCTCACTACTTGAAATGTTTATTCAAATTAAACACTTCATCGAGTTAAAAACTGGAGCTTCCTAAGATTTAAAATGGATTATCAGACATGTAATATACTTGACACTCACCCCAAATCAGAATGACCTGGAATGAGCTGCATGCAGGCACACACATGTCATGAGCTGAGCCTGGGACACAGCGGTCCAGCATTCCTAACTCACACACTCCTTCCCTCACAACCTCCTATTCTTTATACTTTAAACCAGAGCCCGTGAATTTATTCCAGAGAGAGCTGATGAATCCTGAAATGATGATGAAATAGGAGGCGATGTGTGATTTTGTTAAAGAATCCACAACGCTATCAGATTCTTAAAGCGCGACCATCCCCACCCCAGATGAGTTTATGAAATCCTGATTGAAGATTTTAAAATATTGGAGATTGTTAGTTGACTCATTCCATTTATTAAAATCCTCCTCTTACTGGGCAGGGGGAACACTTGACACTTTTGCTTAACAGGCTGAGTTCAGGCTACAGGAAACAGAGATTGTGTTTTTTTCTGTTCCAGCTATCCATAAAGACCTAGAAATAAAAACGTGAATTCTGTGAAATAGAAATCGCTATTTCTATTTAACAACAAGTGTTACTGTATAACTGATATTTCATATGACTTAACCACCAACAGGGTGGGGCACCCCTCTCCATTTGATAGAAACTTTGAACCAAAATTTGCCAGAGCTATGGGAGTGGATCATCAAGAACTCAAGGAGGCCTGGGGCAGGTAAGGGGTCTCGGCGGAGGAGGCCGGGTCTGCCTTGGTGAAAATGCCGTCCTATCGAGAATAGGTATACTGGTTCCTCTTCAGTCCAGTACTGAGCTGCGTGCAGATGTTCTAACTCCTGCTGGTCTCGAGCTGCCATTTAACCAACCTTGGATTCCTGGGATAAGGTCAGCTTGGGCGTGCAATATGTTCTCTTTTATCACTGCTAGATTCAACCTGAAGCTCCTTTGTGCAGGCTTTTGCTCTGGAGATCTTGAGCATCAGCCCGCAGTTTCCCTCACAGTTTAAGTGGGGCCTTCTATTTTTTGGATGTATGTTAGACAACTTCCTTGCAACTCCATCTGTCAGAACTTCCAGTTTTGAGGAAGATTTACAAGGAAGGAATTGCTCATGTTTGTAGAATCCATGCATGTTTTTCCTTAAATCAGTTTGTAAGTTACATATTTAATAAATCTTTAGATAAACTGAAAAGTTTTAAAAAAATATGACATTTTGTATAATACAATTGTTAATTGTTCCAATGTGGCTGGTCCCCACTCATTCCTGAGTGGCTGTTTGTGCCAGCATCTTTCTTGCCCCCACCCCCCTCAGCTTTCTTCAGTCATACCAGTGTGTGCTTTAGGGCAAACCATTATCACTGCTAATGTGCAACGCAGAAGAATGACAGTCTACAAAAAACAGTGATGTGAACAGTTTCAATTGGTTTGTCTTTTTGAAGAACTGACTGATTCTTTCTACATCTCCATTTTCTTTTGCTAATTTAGCTATGGATGTTTCTGCTCCTCTGTGTGTGTGTATTCGTGGGCACTCAATTTCTTAAGGTAATTTCCCTATTCCACTATTTAGTGAAAAAATTCTCTCCACTGGAGAGAAAACAAAAGCTGCTTCTCTGTGAAGCCATCAGGGCAATCCCACAAGAAAGCAGAGCTGCCCAGGCCAGGCGCTGGCCACACTGTGCAGTTGTTCTCAGCTGTTCTCGGCCGCTTCTGGCCATTCTCAGCCTCCCAGGCTTCCAGGCCAGGTTCAGGATGGTTGCCAGAATCTCACTTCATCTCGCCCCATGATTCTGCTCTCCCACCTGCCCATGTGACAGGGTGTTGTTAATCTTTTTAAAATCTTTATAGGAAAAAATTTACCACCGATGATTCCGTTTGTGTGCTGGGAATAAGCAAAAGAAACCTTATTTTTCAACCTGTGGCAGAGCTGAAGAAGCAAACGGATTTTGAAGTTGGGGTTCTATTGCCTTAGCAAACCCAGCCAACGTGAGTACAGGACAGGAGAATGGCTAATGCTGTTGCTGCAACCATTCAGGGGTTTGAGGAACTAGATTTTCAGCTCAGCTAAAAATACCAGGTCTTGGCCAGGCATGGCGGCTCACACCTATAATCCCAGCACTTTGGGAGGCCTAGGTGGGTGGATCACAAGGTCAAGAGATCAAGACCAGCCTGGCCCACATGGTGAAACCCCATCTCTACTAAAAATACAAAAATTAGCCAGGTGTGGTGGTGTACACCTGTAGTCCTAGCTACTCAGGAGGCTGAGACAGGAGAAATCGCCTGAACCTGGGAGGCAGAGGTTGCAGTGAGCTGAGACTGCACCTCTGCTCTCCAGCCTGGGGACAGAGCGAGACTCTGTCTCAAAAGAAGAATACAATAAGAAACCACCACTAGGTCTTTGGGAAGAATTTTTAGAAATATAAAAGCAATGGTTTCATTTGACCCTGAAATTGGGTTTTTATTATTCAGTTGATTCAGCCGACCCTACAAACCCCGTGCTTCTGGCAAGACGGCTCACTGTGCTGGCTGCATCTCCCAGCCTCACTGCTGTCCCCCCATCCCTCCACAGGCACAGGATTCCCAAAGAACAGTGGTGGCCTGGCTGCGGCCCTCATGAAGATCCTGGCCAAGTACATGGACAACTATGATGTGTCGGACTCAGGCCAGAGCACGCACCCAGCCTGAGCGCCTGACCCAGTCCTGCCTGCATGTACCTGCAACCTGGACTCACCGTGGACCATCTGTTTTTAAATTACTAGGTTATTTGAATAAGACTTTCTGAAAGTATTTTTATTGACATTAATACCTAACAAGCAAGCACCTGTCACCGATCAGCCCCACCAGCTCCAGTGCGTGCTGTCTGGACTGTGTCTCATGCTTTCAGATGTGTGTATTAAACGCTTGGCTCACAACTCCAACAGTCCTCCGTTTTAGTTTTTTAAGTAGGAGATTAAAACCAATCTATGGGTATTACTAATGGTTTTCTAAAATTTTTGTGGGCAAAGATTATAAAAATATTTAGTAGGATCACTGAACTATGCACAAGTCATAAAAGGAGAACAAAGCCAGTAGTTTACACAGGCCAAGGGGAATGCCATGTTTATTGCCATGTGTCAGTTTCCAACCACAGCAGCAGGCCAGGACCCCCGGGCCTTGACCCTGCCCTGCTCTCCTTAGAAAGTAAAAGAGAACACATGAATCTTAATTTCACTGCCTCTTGATTGCAATCCTAGCTGCATGTTAAAAACCACCAAGGTGGGGGGTTTGAAAATCTGATAGCCAGTTTTCGTCCAGTTCAAGCCACGGTCCTTGCTGGGACCTAATTTGAATTCTCTGATGACTCTTGCCAGAGTAGACATGGGTGCTGGCGTGACGGCCCTGCTGCCCTCGTGGCCCACCTGTAGGGACAGCGTTTCTGGGCTCTAGCTCTAGGTTGCAGGAGACTACAGCTGTGCCTCAGAAACGGCGTGTGGAGAGCTGTGTGGGAGGGAGAGGAGACTCAAAACAAGCTGTTTGGGAAATCAGAGCCAACGGCCAAGAAGAGCTGGCGTGGTGGCTCTCCTTTCTGGCTCTGTGAAGACGAAGCGAGCGCCACTCACTCCCAGCCCACCTGCTTTCAGGACTGCTTCCATCCGGCCGCCCGCTGAACTTCCGTCTGTTAGAGGACGCCCCACAGGGCCTCGTGTAATCGAAGTTCATGAATCAGCACAGGCAGACACGGGACACCTTTGTGTACCTTTTCATTTTACTTCTGTTTTTTAGTAAAAGCCCTAAATGCTACTTAAGATAATGACTCAAGCAGAGGTTAAATCAGAGTTGCCCTTTATTTTTAGATTCTTAAATATTCTAGAACTAATGAGGTAAAACAAGCCTTTCAGTCAGTAGAAAGTGAAAAAATTCTACGTGGTAAATCTTTGGCATTTCGTATGACTATTTCAATGGACATCTTCCTGGTCGCTTCTTAAGATTGACTTGCCAATCAGTTGGCAACACTTTTTGGAGAAATGATATAATATTCTTGAAAAGCAGTAGCATTTCTGACTTTTCATTCAGCTCTAGAGGCCTATTGTCTCAGGGCTCCTGCACAGTTGTGGCACCAGGGCCGCCACCTGATGATCCAGGATGGGTCCCTTGGCGATTTTGGGATTCTCGGTCTGAGTATGGCAGCTTGCGTGCTCTTCCCAGTGCCGAGGTACCTGAGAGGAAGGCAGGCGAGGTCAGTGAGGACTGGCTTCTACTTCAGTGTCAAGTATATCTCCAATCTCGATGCTGTCTCCACTCCCCGCCTCCCCACTCCCCACTCACCTATCGCCATGGCCAGGAGCTTGTGGTTGATGGTGAAGAGCTGCCCTGTGGCCTGCTTCATCTCATCCGAGAGGCCGCACAAGAAGTGGTCCATTCCTAGAAGACAAACCACAGTGGCACAGGGGGTTGCCACTCCAGAGCTCGTGACAGTGGGCTATGCCTCTCGTGTCCTGTAGAGGGGACAGGTGCATCTCACTGTTACTTCACATACGTGTTTCAACCACAGGGTCATGTCTCAACAGCCCACAATTTCGACCTCTAGCTCCCCACGAGCCACGCTGACTTTACCAAGGCTCGCTTCTGCAGCGTGGATGCATTCAGACCGCGTGAGGCTGATAATGCTGTGAGCAAAAGTGGCTCTACAGTGTAATGTGTGGCCAGGCTCTGGGCCGTGGTCACGCTATCCTTCCACACGAATGAGCCCCAGTCACTGTGCCATGGGGTTGGCCCCACTGGGCCTCAGGTCAGTAAAACTGAAATGACAGGATGCACTCTTCTCGCCCAGATGTCGGGAAGCGTGTTTCCAAGGCCACATTGAGGGTGTCAGATCGTGGAAATCGGGGATCACAGGCAGGTGACAGAGGCGCCTAGAAGCTGGTGCTCCTGCCTGTGCATGAGGGAACTCGAAAATGCTAAATGTCATTCAAGTAGGCTGTGGACTGAGATTCTCACTGTTACATTCACAATACCTTTGTATGAAGGAGCGACAGGAGCATCTACGGTTGAGAAGACAAAGTTTGCCTCGCTGTCTTGCTGCGCGACTTTCCAGATTTTGCCCAGTAAACCTTCCCAAAAGATTGAGTGTTCTATTGTTTTTGGGTCCCTAGGAACCCAGAGAAATAAATAGGCAAGCATTTTACCAAAGGACAAGTTTATGACAAACCTGTGACTTAACAGTTCAACATCTTCTGTGGGTTAACAGCTCTATTTTACATCTGATCTAGTCCAAACAGCCTCTGACAAATTGCTCAATTACTCTCAGTGGAAGTTTAAATCCGATCACATAAGACTTTCAACACGTTTCTCCTCTAGACAGGGTCTGTCTGCATAAAGTCCTCCCCAGATTTAAATCCACCTCTGTGACATCAGGGAGAGGAAAGATGTGGAGGGTGGGGCAGGTCAAAGATTACTATGAAACATATAAGACTCACATGGAAAATCAAGCAAACAAAGGTTTTCTTAATCTCCCCTCAAGGACACACCCAGGGCAGTACAGGAATCAGTCTGGAGGGGGCTGATCCAGCCCCCCTTTGTGTAAATGGAAAGAGCCCAGCCTCCTCCACCCTGACTCAGAGCTGCAGAGGTTGTGAGCTGCTTCCCATCCTTGTCTAGAAGAGTGGCTTCCAGCACAGCAAATGGGAGAACTCAGCAGGGTGGCAACGGCTACCGACTCTACCCACGCGTCTACCTACCTACCTACCTAATCTATCTCTGCATCCACGAGCCAGGCTCTCATTCGCCCAGGCTGGCGTGTGGTGGCACAATCTGCTGACTGCAGCTTCAACCTCCTAGGCTCATGGATCCTCCCGCCTTAGCCTCCTGTAGCTAGGACCACAGGCACTTGCCACCATGCCTGGCCAACTCCTTCTTAAAAAGTGTCAGAATACAGGTTCTCTTGGGCAGCAAAGCCATACACAATCAAGAATTTATTATTTTAGAATAACGGTGTTATGTTTGAGTGAAAGCTAACAGTTGCATCCACATCAGGCACCTCCAAATGAAATGAGCTAAGAATGTTCTCAGGCTATATCGCGCCCCTCACCTGGGGCCTGTGTCCCAGGTCCCCCAGAGCAGGGTTGCAACCTCAGACAGCCACTATGGATACTGTGTTTTTCTCCTATGCCTAAGTGAAAAGTCTATAGATTAGGTGCAGCAAGATATTAAACAAAATACAACAATTATACTGTAATAAAAGTTATGCTAAGTAAAACAAGCGTTCTGTAGAAGCTCTGACACCCACAGCGTATCTGGATGACCTAGATGGCTACTGAGTGACCAACAGGCAGGCACCAGACAGTGTCAGCTTTCATCCGCACTGCTTAGAAGAATGGTGTACAATTTAAAACTTTGGAAGTGTTTATATCTGGAATTCTCCATTTAATATTTTCAGACCAAGGGTGACTGGGTAATAAACCGTGGAAGGCAAAACCATGGATGGAGGCACTACCGTGTTTTGCCAAAATATGCTGGCTTAAGCCAGGGTTTACTAAAGACAGAATGCTTCCCGTTTACGCTGCTGGCCCCAATCCTTGCACCAGAAAGGACATTGCTGGGTGTGGCTAAGTGCTCGAGAAGTGAAAAGCAGCACATAGAACAACTTTTGTCTAAAGTTCACTGCAGAAGAAACACACTGATAATCATGAGTAGGAGACTAAAACACAGTGTGTGTCCCAATGTGTGAACTAGAGCAAAGCTCACCTGTAAGAGTAAAGGGTGAAAACCCCACTGTGGCTGAGTTTTGCGCTCCACCGTAAGCGCCCACCTTTTCTCGAATTTCTGCATGTAGAATTTAGCAGTCATCAAACATGCAAGGATTTTAAGACTGAAATTAATGATTAAAAATGCAAGTTTAAACACCATGGCTGATAAAACATAGACAATGAAGTAATTATTGATTCAGTGAAAATGAAAATAAAATCAAGTTGTACACAATGCCACATAAATTATGGTCCCATTTTTTTGGTCTTGTTTTTTAAGAGACGGGATCTTGCTCTGTCGCCAGGCTGGAGTGCATAAGGGCAATCACAGCTCACTGCAGCCTTGAACTCCTGTGCTCAAGTGATCCTCCCACCAGTCTCCTGGAGTAGCTGGGTCTACAGATGCGTGCCACCACGCCTATTTTTACAATTTCTGTAGAGGCAGGGTCTAGTTCCGTTGCCCAGGCTGGTCTTAAACACCTGGCTTCAAGTGATCCTCCTGCCTTCAAAGTGCTGGGCTTACAGGTATTAGATTTTTTAATGAATAAAACTAAAAAGCACAAGGAAGCACAATTTTCAAGCAGTTGTCTTGGATTACATGGTTGAAAGCAGTGGTGGGGAGGAATCTAACCCACTTCCAGCACCACACTGCTTAACTTGTTCCAATGCATATGTGGCATTTTTAAAATCTGGTGAAGTAGAAAGATGTTATTTCTATTGTAAAGGCAAATGTGCAAATGAATATTTAAATGTCTCACATCAGGATACCAAAAAAAAAGGAAACTGAAGTCAAACTCTTTGAACTTTATAGGAATCCCTTTGGCAAACACACACACTCTCCGATACATCACATTTCCAGAACGGGCTGATTTCATCTGCCTTCCACTGCGAATGGTGACATCACATTCTAGATGATTCCAGAACACATCCTCCTCTGACAGAAGGCAGGGCAGACAATGATGGAAGGCCTATGGCAAAGACACAGGTCCCCAAAGGCGCCCGTGGCGAGATCAGCCCCGGGTCACCACTTCCACAGATGGGCCATTTCCCAAAGCAGATGAAGGGAGTCAAAGAGGGTTAGGTGGGAAATCAAGGAAGGAGGGCATGTTCCCAGGGCCGTGCTGGGAGTAGTCATGACCATCTCGTGTGGCCCTCCAGGAGAAAACCCAGTGCCACTCGGGTGGCTGGGGCGTCATCAGCTGGGACCAGCGAGGTTGAGCCAGACTCCTGGGGGACGGAGCTCATAAGACCAGCAGGGATGGCCTTCTGTCCATCCATGCAATCCTCCTCCTTGAGAAATTTCTATTACTTGTATATTAAAAACACATGCTCACTGTTGAAAGATTATAAAATACAAAAACAAGGAAAAAAGATCTAGACTCCCCTGGCCCAGGGGGAACCTCCACATTTTTAGCTTGTCTGCATTTTCCTATTGATGGTGGAACAGACCACTTTCTGCTGGCACAGCAGACAGATCTGTTTATCTCCTACAAATATGGAAATTAATGAACAAAACAGCTGACCACACACCTCTTTTCTACAGAAGAGCTCTTCTGCCTCCTACTGCAGCCCCACATTTCCTCCCACCTGGCTACACACCTCCCCATCTGTGGTCCTACTGTGACACACGCATTCCTGGAGGCCCGGCACCTTCTCCTATCAGGATAGACTGCCCAGGCCTAAGCCCGCTTCCCCTCTACCACTGGGTGGCTGGGGCACCACTGGGCTGGGACCAGCGAGGTTGAGCCAGACCCTGGGGGTCTCCTCCTTGGTTTAGTCCCTCATGGGGGTAGCTGCCTGGGACAAGGATACAGGAAGTGAATTTCCGGGATATAACATTTTTGCACAGATCTGTGTCATCCACACCCAACTGACAGGTCCCCAAAAGTGTATGTCTGTGAGTCTGTCCTCCTGGTCTGGCCAGTTTCCACAGATGGGATGAACACAGCCGAGGGGCAGCCACACTTTGGAAGAAAGGGCTGGAGGGCCAGTTCGTAGGCTGCAAACTCCCTCGCCCCACGCCACTTTGGGAACAGGCCTGACCCTCACTCTCGGCCGTGGCTTCGGCCGCTCAACCCCGGGCCTCCTTCCCTGAGCTTCTGACTTGGTGGGGAGACAGGGGAGGCAAACTCCTCAGAGGGACTGTGAGGCAGCCTCCAGCCCTGCCATCTGCAGGGCTCTGCAGGACCACCTGGTTTCTCCCCACTGCCCTGTCCCTCTGTGGCCCCGGGTCAGGCACCCCCCACCCACCCACCCACAGTCTGGCTCATGAGGTTCTCCTGCAGCCCCCATGGCTGCCTGGGTCACCTCCCACTCTCCCTTGTGGCTTTGTGTCTTGATCTACCTTTGCTGTCGTTCCATGCATCTGTCCTCACGAAGGCTTAATCTACCATGTTTATCAGAAGTCTCAACCTAAATTCATTCAATTTCCACCTAGAGATGAGGGGAGTACATGGGGCATTTTGAAAGGAGTTTGTGGTTAGGGCCTTTGTTCATAAAGACTCTGCTGTTTAAAGAGGGCTGCTCGTAGACTCACAAAGCCCCAGGTCCAACACTCAGAGTCAGTGCAGACTCTTCCTGTGCTAAAACATGCCCTGTGAACTCGAACAGGCTTGACAAGTTGCTTCTGTAAGGCTCAGGCCTGAGAGATCCCGACCTCCACCCTCCTACCTGGCATGATCTGGGTCCGTGTAGGGGACAGTTCGGATGCATTCGCCCACATAATTCACCGGGAAGTGCATCAGGAAGTGAGTCTTCATCTGCCAGGGCTTGAAGGTGGGTTCCTGAGGGATAAGGTGCGGTCAAAGGTGGCTGTCCTATTTTTATTTTGGCCTTTTCTTAGTGTGTGTTTTCTGTAACTACTGCTGTGTAGAACTTCTATATGAGTTTTAGGTTGTGAATCTTGCCCACCCAGAGTTCCCCCACCCCAGAGAGCCTCCACTTCGGCCCCCCTGGGCTGGTCCTGCCTGTGCTCCGCTTGGTGTGAATGTTGAGTGTGATCGGTCCACAGGGCTGCTTGACCCTGCGTCTCCTTCCTTCTTGTTGCTGAGGCCAGTTCTGTTCTCTCTTTCTCCACCTGAACTGCATTTGAAGCCAAGATGAAGGATGAGAAGTGGTTGCTAAGAAGGACCCTCCTGCAGCGAATTCGCTGTGAGGAGGCTGCGCTGGCCCAGCCTGTCATTTCCTTCTCTAAGCTCATTCCAGAGGTCGGCAAGGGGCAGCCTGTCCCTGCCTGCTCTCGTGGCCTGCGAATCAAGAATGGATTTTACATTTCCAAATGATTGAACAAATAAAAAACTAACACTTCTGTGGGGAAAAGAAAGAGAGATCAGCTTGTTACTGTGTCTATATAGAAAGAAGTAGACATAAGAGACTCCATTTTGTTCTGTATTTGAGATGCTGTTAATCTGTGACCCTACCCCCAACTTTGTCCGTGCAAGAGACACGTGCTGCGGCGACTCAAGGTTTAATGGATTTTGGGCTGTGCAGGATGTGTCTTTGTTAAATAAGTGCCTGAAGACAGCTTGCTGGTTAAAAGTCATCACTATTCTCTTAATTTCAACTGCCCAGGGACACGTACATGGCCAAAGTCGCAGAGACCTCTGCCTAGAAAAGCTAGGTATTGTCCAAGGTTTCTCCCCATGTGATAGGCTGAAACAATGCTGCTAAAAGGTTTATGGAGATGTTTGCATATGCATCTCAAGGCACAGCATTTTCCTTTAAACTTATTCATGTCACAGAGATTTTTGTTCATATGTCTTACTGCTGATTTCCTCCCTACAATGATCCTATTGTCCTGCCACTCCCTTATCTTTAAGATGGTAAAGATAATTATCAATAAATACTAAGGGAACTCAGAGACCGGTGCCAGTGTGGGTCCTCTCTAAGCTGAGCGCCAGTCCCCTGGGCCCACTTTTTCTTTCTCTATACTTTGTCTCTGAGTCTCATTTCTTTTCTCAAGTCTCTTGTTCCACCTAACGAGAAACACCCACAGGTGTGGAGGGGCAAGCCACCCCTTCATCTGGTGCCCAACGTGGAAGCTTTTCTCTAAGGTGAAGGTACACCAGAGCGTGGTCATTGAGGACAAGTCGATGAGAGACTCCCGAGTACGTCTACAGTCAGCCTTGCGATAAGCTTGTGCACTCGGAAGAACCTAGGGTAACAATGGGGCAAACTGAAAGTAAATATGCCTCTTATCACAGCTTTATTAAAATTCTCTTAAAAAGAGGGGGAGTTAAAGTCTCTACCAAAAATCTAATTATGCTATTTCAAACAATAGAACAGTTTTGTCCATGGTTTCCAGAACAGGGAACTTTAGATCTAAAAGACTGGGAAAAAATTGGCAAAGAATTAAAACAAGCAAGTAGGGAAGGTAAAATCATCCTACTTACAGTATGGAATGATTGAGTCATTATTAAAGTAGCTTTAGAACCATTGCAAACAGAAGAAGATAGCGTTCCAATTTCTGATGTCCCTAAAAGCTGTGCAGTAGATTGTGAAAAAGAGGCAGGGATAGAATCCTGGAAAGGAAAGGAAAGTTCACACTGTAAATGTGTAGCAGAGCTGGTAATGGCTCAGTCAATGCAAAATGTTTATGATAATCAATTACAGGAGGTAGTATATCCTGAAACGTTAAAATTAGAAGAAAAGAGTCCAGAATTAGCAGAGCCATCAGAATCTAAACCACGATGGCCAACTCCTCTTACAGCACCTCAGATGCCTGTAACTTTACAACCTCAAATGCAGGTTAAACAAGTACAAACTCCAAAAGAAGATCAAATAGAAAAAGAGTCTCTGGCATGGCAATGCCAATCCAAATACAGTGTCCACAATATCAGCCAGTAGAAAATAAATCCCAGCCGCCAGTAGTCTATCAATACTGGTTGCCAGCCGAGCTGCAGTATCGGCAGCCCCCAGAAAATCCGTATGGACAACCAGGAACATTTCCACTGCCACAGGGCAGGGTGCCATATCCTCAGCCGCCCACCATGAGACTTAATCCTACAGCACCGCCTAGTACACAGGGTAGTGCAGTACATAAAATTATTGATGAGGCAAGAAAACAAGGAGATATTGAGGCATGGCAATTCCCAGTAATATTAGAAGCAAGACCACCTGGAGAAGGGGTCCAAGAGGGAGAGCCTCCCATAGCTGAAGCCAGATATCAGTCTTTTTCTATAAAAATGCTAAAAGAAATGAAAGAAGGAGTAAAACAGTATGGACCCAACTCTCCTTACATGAGAACATTATTTGATTCCATTGCTCATGGACATAGACTCATTCCTTATGATTGGGAGATTCTGGCAAAATCATCACTCTCACCCTTTCAGTTTTTACAATTTAAGACTTGGTGGATTGATGAGGCACAAGTACAGGTCCAAAGAAATAGGACTGCCAATCCTCCAATTAACATAGATGCAGATCAACTATTAGGAATAGGTCAAAATTGGAGCACTGTTGACCAACAAGTAATAATGCCAAATGAGGCCATTGAGCAAATCAGGGCTATCTGCCTTAGGGCCTGGGAGAAAATCCAAGACACAGGAACCACCTGCCCCTCCTTTAATACAATAAGACAAGGCTCTAAAGAGCCCTACCCTGATTTTGTAGCAAGACTTCAAGATGCTACTCAAAAGTCAATTACCAATGAAAATGTCCGTAAGGTCATAGTGGAGTTGATGGCATATGAAAACACCAATCTTGACTGTCAATCAGCCATTAAGCCATTAAAAGGAAGGGTTCCCGCAGGATCAGATGTAATCTCAGAGTACGTTAAAGCCTGCAATGGAATTGGAGGAGCTATGCATAAAGCTATGCTTATGGCTCAAGCAATCACAGGAGTTGCTTTAGGAGGACAAGTTAGAACATTTGGGGAAAAATGTTATAATTGTGGTCAAATTGGTCATCTAAAAAAGAATTGCCTAGTCTCAAGTAAGCAAAATGTAACTACTGAAGCTACTACAACAACAGATAAAGAGCCACCTGGCCTATGTCCAAGATGTAAAAAGGGAAAACATTGGGGTAATCAATGTCGTTCTAAATTTGATAAAAATGGGCAACCAGTGTCAGGAAATGAGAGGAGGGGCCAGCCTCAGGCCCCGCAACAAACTGGGACATTCCAAATTCAGCCCTTTGTTCCTCAGGGTTTTCAGGAACAACAACCCCCACTGTCACAAGTGTCTCAGGGAATAAGCCAGTTATCACAATACAGCAATTATCCCCCGCCACAAGAGGCAGTGCAGCAGTAGATGTATGCACCATACAAGCAGTCTTTGCTTCCAGGGGAGCCTCCACAAAAAATCCCCACAGGGGTATATGGCCCATTGCCTGAGGGGGCTGTAGGACTAATCTTAGGAAGATCAAGTTTAAATCTAAAGGGAGTTCAAATTCATACTGGTGTGGTTGATTCAGACTATAAAGGCGAAATTCAATTGGTTATTTGTTCCTCAATTCCTTGGAGTGCCAGGCCAGGAGACAAGATTGCTCAATTATTACTCCTACCTTATATTAAAGTTGGAAAGAGTGAGATAAAAAGAACAGGAGGGTTCGGAAGCACTGATCCGGCAGGAAAGGCTGCATATTGGGTAAGTCTGGTCTCTGAGAGCATACCCGTGTGTAAGGCCATTATTCAAGGAAAACAGTTTGAAGGGTTGGTAGACACTGGAGCAGATATCTCTGGCATTGCTTTAAATTAGTGGCCAAAAATTGGCCTAAACAAAAGGCTGTTAGAAGACTTGTCGGCGTAGGCACAGCTTCAGAAGTGTATGAAAGTACATGATTTTACATTGTTTAGGACCAGATAATCAAGAAAGTACTGTTCAGCCAATGATTACTTCAATTCCTATTCATCTATGGGGTCGAGATTTATTACAACAATGGGATGCAGAAATCATTATGCCCGCTCCATTATACAGCTCCACGAGTCAAAAACTCATGATTAAGATGGGATATATACCAGGAAAGGGATTAGGAAAAAATGAAAATGGCATTAAAGTCCCAATTGAGACTGAGAAAAATTAAGAAAGAAAAGGAATAGGGTATCATTTTTAAGGGCGGCCACTGTAGAGCCTCCTGAACCCATTCCATTAACTTGGAAAACAGAAAAACCGGTATGAGTAAATCAGTGGCCGCCAGCTAAGCAAAAACTGGAGGCTTTACATTTATTAGCAAAGGAACAATTAGAAAAGGGACACATTGAGCCTTCATTCTCACCCTGGAATTCTCCTGTATTTGTAATTCAGAAAAAATCAGGCAAATGGCATATGTTAATGGACTTAAGAGCAGTAAATGCTGTAATTAAACCCATGGAGCCTCTTCAACCCGGATTGCCCTCTCCAGCCATGATCCCGAAAGACTGGCCTTTAATTATAATTGATCTTAAGGATTGTTTTTTTACCATTCCTCTGGCAGAGCAAGATTGTGAAAAATTTGCCTTTACTATACCAGCCATAAATAATAAAGGATCAGCCACCAGGTTTCAGTGGAAAGTATTACCTCAGGGATTGCTTAATATTCCAACTATTTGTCAAACTTTTGTAGGTCAAGTCCTTCAACCAGTTAGAGGTAAATTTTCAGATTGTTATATTATTCACTATATTGATGATATTTTATGTGCTGCAGAAACAAGAGACAAATTAATTGACTGTTACACATTTCTGCAAGCAGAGGTTTCCAGTGAAGGACTAACAATAGCTTCTGATAAGATCCAAACCTCTACTCCTTTTCATTATTTAGGGATGCAGAGAGAAAATAGAAAAATGAAGCCACAAAAAATAGAAATAAG